CTGACACAGTCTCACTGGGCTAAGATGAAGGTGCGGGCAGGGCTGGACCCCTTCCGCCATCTCCAAGCCAGCCATGGCAGCAGGTCCTCCCCCGTGTCTGTCCCTCCAGTTCTCCGCTCAGGAGGACCATGATTGGATTGGGTCGCCCGGGATAACCCGGGGTGACCGCCCCATCTCAAAGTCCCGCACCTTCTTCACACCTGCAAGGTCGGTCCTACCTGTGAACTAACTGGTTCACTGGTCTGGCAATTGGGACTGGACACCCTGGGGGCCACTGCTCTGTCCTCGCACACCCCTGCCCCCAGGAAGAAGTCTTCTCCTTTAGAAAAAGCTAACCACCCTCAAGCCAAGCCCAGAGTCCCTGGTCAGCTGAAGAAAGACTTCAACACGAGTGCGGGAGACCAGGACAATCAGAACAAGGAAAAGGGAAAGAAAGAGCCCAGGGGACACTGAGCACGTGGAGAAAAAGACCGACGAGCATCCGTGAAACCAGCCAAAGACGCTGCTTCTTCCTTTTTCAGAGACAATGCCAAGTGAGAGAAAAATATGCAACCTGGGTTTCATCAAAATTTTAAAATGTTTTTGCATCAAAGGATACAGTCAACAGAGTGAAACAGCAGTTCACAAAATGGGAGAAAATATTTGTAAATCGCATTTCTGATAAGGGATTTAGATCTAAAATACCAAGGATCCTCTCAACTCAATGACGAAAAGACAAGACACTCAATTAAAAGTGAGCAGGTCTCGGCCATAAAAAGAAGGAAATCATGCCATTTGCAGCCACACGGATGGACCTAGAGCTGATCACACTAAATGAAGTAAGTCAGAGAAAGATAAATACCATATAATATCACTTACATGGAATCTAAAAAGGTGACACAAATGAACTTATGTACAAAATGGAAACAGACTCACAGACGTACAAAACAAAAGGGATGGTAGGGGAAGGGATAAATTAGGAGTTTAGGACTAGCAGATATAAACTACTATATATAAAACAGATAAACAAGTTTATAATGTACAGTACAGGGAAATGTATTCAATATCTTGTAATAACCTATAATGAAAAAGAATATGAAAGAGAATATACATAAATATAACTGAATCACTACGCTGTACATCAGAAACTGGCAGAACATTGTAGGTCAACAATACTTCAATAAAAATAAATAAATACAATTTAAAGTAAAAGTGAGCTGAGGACTCAAACAGACATTTCTCCGGAGAAGATATACAAATGGCCAATAAGCACGTGAAAGATGTTCAGCATCACTGGTCATCAAGGAAATGCAAATCAAACCCATGAGACACCACTGCACATCCTTTAGGATGCCTGTTATCCCAAAACACAAAATAATAAGAGTTGGTGAGGATGTGGAGAAACTGGAAACCTTGTGCATTGCTGGTAGGAATATGAAATGGTGTAGCTACTATGGAAAACACTTTGGAGGTTTCTGAAAAAAATTAAAC